CATCCATGACGCAATCACGCAGAGCTACGCTGCTGTTGTAGTGGGCGTGCTTGAATCTAAACTGGGTTGTAAAAACAATAGACACAGAAAGGACAGAAACTACTATAAATCAACAGTGAATCCAACTACAGCTAGTGTAAAAAGCTTTTAAGTATGTTGTGACACAGGATGTGATTTGTTTTAGCTTTAAATTAGATCCCTCCAAATAAATTGGAAAACAACACTAGATTTGTACAAAACAGAATTTGGAGGAAAGAAGGAATAGAGGATTTGAAAAAAGTAGCCAGGCTGAGGCAAATGGGAGGTGGTTTCAGGCTGTGTGGTTTTTATTGCTATTCATTGGGAGTTAAACTGTGCTCCTTGGTCTAATGAAATGTAAAGCTGCAGCGTATTGATGTCTGTACACACACACGCACGCTCATTAGAATTCCTGTGATGCGACCGCAGCTGAGTGTGTGTCTGCCTGCGCGGACACGTCTCGGCTGCCAGACTCCGCGTATTGATTGATCTATGAATTTATAATCGTTAGTGTAAATCTTAAACCCAAGGCAGCCCATTGGATAAGTGATGGTGTCTGTCTGTGGGACAGAAACACAGCTGTGACCTAAGCCAGGGTAAATCTGTTCCTCTTTACATCAGCATGACTCATCAGAATGCCTCCAATGACTAAGCACAAATTGTGTAAAATACCCGTCCTATGTTTCCTTTACTGTTGTTTTTATGTTTTGTTTTTGTTTACAGGTTTTGATTGTGTGTTCAATGACTGACGCTGTTGTATGAGATGCCCTTGTGAATCGCAATTCAGACTCGTTAAATTATTTTTTACAGTATTTATTGGTTTTATTGGCTGATAAAGAGCCTTATGTCAATATAAATGCTAACTTTATGATTGAATATCTATGTGGCCTTTGTTAGGATAATGAAGCTATGGCATTGAATGACAATTAATGAGAAGGAAGCAGATCACAGATGGCAAACTGCTGATTCATGCTGATCTGGATAGAATATTTAGCAAAGTACTTATGATGGAGATTGTGCAACCCGAAATATGTGTCAATATGGAGCCTTTAGTCAAAATGCATTCAGCAACTATTCAGTAATGTTATATGATTGATTCATCTTTCCGACCAGAATGTTAGACTTTTTTCTGACATTTCTTAGACCAAATAATACAGTTGTTTTAAAAGAGACAATATAATCTTTTAGATCGAGTAAGCCCCTGTCACACTGTCCCGAACCACGCACGAAAATATGGTCGTAGACTTTACTGATGATTTAGAATGTATCCAGACTCAACGTAAGAGCTTGTGCCTCTTCGGGTGGTGCTAACATTTAAACATACACTTTATTCTTTACTTTCTCCGTCTTTATATGTAGATTAGAAGATATTACTTATCTCCGTCATGTTGTTTCCATAGCAACAACAACTTCCTGTCAACAGCGTAAACTCGCCTTCAAAATAAAAGCATCTAAATAAAACAGGAAGTTAACCTAAATGACATTTAAGACATACAACTGCAACGAAAGTAACAAAAACAATGTAATATCCTTTTCAGTTTCACAGAACACAAATTGGGTTATTTACATAATATGTTTACATGATTTTGTTGTGCAATAAATGCAATCTCGATGTCATCGTACTATAATACGATGGCTACACGACGGCATTGCGAGGGCTTCACGTAGTCGTATTGCCTTCCTAAGATAATCGAGCAGCTTCTTGTTTCCTTCGTATGGTCTTCGTGAGGCGAAAAATGCCCGATGGCACCGATGATCACACGAAGTAAAGACGAAGATGACACGATTTGACAAGATGCCCTCACGCTGGCCTTACAAAGGGCAACATGGACACACAAATTCAACACGAAAATGAACCTTCGCAAGGTCCTTCGGCAATTTTTTGGCATGCCAAAGATTTTGCCACCGCTCACGAAGTTGCTGCCGGAGCCTGAGAAATTCCACCGGCGGTCATACAATGGCTTAAGATGCCCTCACAAATGGCCCGATGTTGTTACGATGGGCAGTAGCTTTCGAGGGCTCCGTTGTCGCCTGGAATTTCCCATAGAGGTGGGTAGTGCTAGGGCCGGACTGGTGTGTGTAGAAGTTAGCGTGTGGTAGTGCTATGTGTATGCCTGGTTGGTTGTTTGGTGGTCGCGGGACTGGTAGGGTGGAAGGTTTGAGAAAGTCAAAGGGTGACGTTAATTTTTTTCGGATTATAACTTGGAGTTTAATTGTCGCTAGTGTGTCTAGATTGTGTGTGTATGTGAGTTACTAATATCCGGCGTTTTTGTGGTAATAACGTTGCTCTCAAAGCGGTGTTCGTGTAGTACGTGTCTCATCAGTTGTGATAGATTATGTTGTTTTGTCTACGCTCTGTGTGTGTTCCTCTTCTGCCTGTGTAGATCGTCGTATGCATATATTTTTTTCTTTGTTACGTGAATGTAAAGAGGTATACTTGTAAAGGCTGGTGTGTAGTCGTGTCGATGTGTATCTTTGCATGTAGTATAGCAAGTGGGTAGAATCTTCCCTTTTGTTCAACTTTTCTTCAGATGTTGATATTCTTAACGTAACTGCTGTGTTGGTACGTGTGTCGCTAGCTATTGTGGTGTGACAAAATACTAGGCTGGTACCGGGTGACTTCATTCATACTTCTTCTACTATGGGAAGATGTAGTAGTGTGTGTTGTGATTCCCCTTATGCTGGTACGAATTAGGGTGTACGGTATCCGCTTGATATGTGTAATCAGACTTTTGTGTGTACGGTGTTGTTGGAAACTACTTTGCGGATAATAGAAACACAACGTTTATCCTTTGCCCTGTAGACAAACACTTCAGTTAGTGAATTTATTGAGAGGTTTCCATACACTGGTGAAGCTACTAATGGCCTTGGGAAACACGTTATTGTGACTGTCGTACCACCACTCTAATCGTGTGTGTGTAGCTGCTTGTGTCCAGTATAATGGCAGTCTCTTTTAGACATTTTATTCCGTTATATCATGAAAGGGTGTGGCGTGGCAATAGTCCTACGATGGTGTGATGATGATGTACAAGGTGAAATAGAAAAAATTTTATGACAAAGATAGGTGAACTTCATAATGTGTCATTCTATAAAATTGACTACACGTCCGGAAGAAATACAATTACCACCAACATAACAACGGGAGAAAAATGTGATGGGGGTGGGAAAACCTACATTTGTAGATTTACCTAGGGAGACACCTTGTTTAGTTATCCCAAAGGACTACTCATGTAGAGAAAAATTTTGTTACTTATGTATATGGATATTTGTTCTATTATTATCAATAGATTTTTCGGGGTGACGTCCTCAAATTCTCAACAAGTAAGGGAGTCTATTTGTGAAACTTTGCTTGCAGTCTGTGTGTAATTGGGGAGGCACATAAAGGTACCCAAAACAGGGCCTTGTCTATAGAAGTCACACCTAAATCTTCGTCTAAGTCTCAGATCGCACCTCACCGTGACGTCCCCAAAGACCTCAGTCCAAGGCTAACCTCCAATACATATTGCTTTCGACTGAAATAGTTAGGAACTTGAAAACTAGACTCCTGTCTGCTGACTGGTCAGCACGTCTGGACTCGCTACCTACCTAAGTATTCGCGAGAGTACGTCTGTGTAGTGTCTTACGTAATCTCCTGTGGTCTTGGTAAGTTACGAATATATGACTGGGTGGTCGTTTCGCTGTATCGAATGGTGACTGTACGAGACCCACCTGTGTCTTGGTCACATTCAGTCGTGTCCTCGCTAACTATCAGTTGTAGAATAGACTATTGTCTTCGGTGTTATTGTCCAAGAGCCATCGTCACATGTGGTAGACGATTAGTTCATACTATCACTGCTGAGTGTGACGGTAATGTCATCAACTCAGATGACGTATAGTGTAATGAGAGTACCTGTTCAAAGTTTAGTCCTCGTGACAGTGTGTATAAATAACCTTGAAAATAAGTGTGCGCATTATCTACTCTCTCGTTGAGATCATTACATAAATTTGGCGTTCGAAACTTACAACCGTTTGTCGATGATGTACTGATGTACGTGGTATGTGTCCTGTGTCGTATAATGTGTATAATCCTGACGGTCTGGTGTTCGCTGAAATCTATGTACGGATCGCTTTGATATGTAAGATGTGTGTGTAGTATTTGTCGGTGTAGTAGTGCATATTTAGATAAACGCCAATTATAGTTGAATAATCGTGCTGCTGTGTGTCTAAGACTTGTATGTCGTAGTCGACTGTGTACGTGTGTTACCTCTTGTGTGTTGATTGTCACAATCTTATATCTTCCGTATCAGTGAACCACTTGTTACTCGTTGTACGGGCGTCACTATGTGTAGTGTGTGTGTCTGTCTGTGTACACTCCTTGTGTGTTGTGTGTGTATAGCATTAGTGTCTCAGTTGTGTGGTCTACACTGTGTACTAGTATATTTTGTTGTATTAAGTACAGAATTACATCTCCTCAGTACTCGTTTTTGTTACCAATCTTGTAATGTGTCTTCAGGATTTCAATTCAGCCTAATAGATTGAGAACCCAAACTCTTTTTCATTATTCACTAACTTATAACGAACTATTCAACCGTATTAAAGGCGTGACCCACACACCGTTCTCGTCCTCCAACTATACACGGAAAGTTTCGTGTACTACCGCGTTTCAAACCATATCAGAAAAAGTCCCAACATGTATACGGCGTCTGACACAGGTGTAGTCAAAGTACACCCGCGTCAGCTAACGAGTTCCCCCCCGCCAGTGAGCGTTTCTGTTTCGTGTGGAACCACGGATGAACGATCTGCAGTCTACGAAAGATTAGTGTAGCGCTATAGAGCGGATACGCGATTGCGCAATGTTGGAGAAGTCCTTCGACACTCCGAAAACTAACCGCGCCATTACTATAATCTGCGCCGTACTTCGCGGGTCCCCCCTTCTGTTTTGTGCGGACGGTCTTGGTCAGGGGTAATGGTAGGTATTCGGTTGGGTGAGAATTAGGGAGAAGGCGACACGGGCAAAGGTTTCCTTTAACGACCTCGTGACAGTCCCTTTGTCGTCGGAAGTGGTTCATCCGGACTCAGTAGCGCGGCCGTCGCCACTCCGCTGGCGGGGCCGGTCCGCGCGGCACGTACATCCCACTAAATCTTAGGGTCAACAGGGTTTGTGTAGATCTAGTTGTTCCGTCCGCCAGGGATGCTTTCCGCTTATCGAGACATTGAGAGATTTCGTGACAGTGTGACAGGGCCTTTAACTGTGGTCTACGCTAGTGTACTATCTCCTTTACCCAAGTTNCTATCTTTGCATGGGCTGATTCTGTGAGAACAGCACCATCTACAGGCAGGCCCGGCTCCAGGATGAAATTACTGAGGGGGCTGTTAAAAAAATCCGAGGCCCTCGGATTTTTTTAACAGCCCCCTCAGTAATTTCATCCTGGAGCCGGGCCTGCCTGTAGATGGTGCTGTTCTCACAGAATCAGCCCATGCAAAGATAGTGTTAAATTGAGAGAAATGAGTAATGGCTAAAAAGCATGATCTGTTTGGTATTTGAAAAATAAAAAGTATAAATATGCCTTATAAATATAGCATGATAGGTCCACTTTAAAGAAATGTTTACATTGCCTTGGACAAATTAATACTTGATAAAAGTACATTATTGTTGCTTTATTATTGTAAATTACAAATAAGCACATGTTTAATTAGCTATACATAACTGCAACGGTGCAGTTTCAGAGGGTCTATAAAAAAACATGCAAAATGAAACTGAATTTGTCGAATGCAAAATGGTCTTTGGTATCTCTTAGCATGGTCAGTGCAGGCATATATCAACATTTTCCAAATAACTGCAGGTGGGTGTAATCTCTCACACACGCGCTTGCTTGAAGTTTCTTGTTTCGTTTCCACCATCAGCAGTGCAGAAAGGGGTATTTGGCCTTTGGGGGGAGGAGGGGAGGGGGAGAGATAGAGGAAGTGAAAATGAATTCCAGTTCAAAGATCGTATATGGTTGAGACGATCGTACATTTTTCCATCTGTCTCTCTTTTATTACATTGCCAAAGCAGTTAAAACTTTTACTGCTTCCTCTCAACCTTCCAAATGTTTTACTGTTAGGCATTTAGTTGTATTTGGCCTCGGCATTTTAGCTATGTGCAGGTGTAATATCTACTATGTTTTGCCAATAATAACATGAGGTGTGGACAGTCTATAAAGTGAATGGGGATAAATAAAAACATGTTAGCCACTATAAAGTGTGCTGTTGTGCCAAGTCACGTTTTAGAACAGAAAACAAAAACATATGCCAAAGCAACTGATCATTTCAAGGCAATACATTTATAGCGCTCCAATACTATTGAATAAAACCAATATATTCAGTTCCCACAGATCTGAAATATACTTGGGGTGGGGTTGAGGTGACGTGCAACAACATTAACCTTTCTGTTGGTCGCTTGTTAGCAGACCCTTCACACGATAGCAGAGCGAACAGGTACAGGCAGGGCCCATAGTGATAGCCCTATAGTTTAAATCTACTACCCACATATAAACATATGGACATGGGTTACTATTAAAAAAAAAATTGTAAATGTATTTAGGAACCTATCAATTTGATTTTAAGAGGGGGTCGACCTCAAATCCTCTAGGGGGGTCCCGGTCAGATTTTTTTTTTAATGTTGGAGTTAAATGCATCAATCTGGTGCATTTTGAGGGGAACATAAAGAGACTAGATCTATGGAAACACCTATATGAAACAGAACTGTGTACATTTCAATAATCATAAAATCATGGCCATAACCAATAACATCCCATTTCCAATATGAAAAATACACTGAAACTTGTTTATTTATTTATTTTTGGTTCATTTATAGTTGTGAGTGTGTCTGTGCTCCTGAATCAGCCTCTCCTGTCTCCCTCCTCTCCCCCCTGCTCCTCTTTGAGGAAGCAGCAAAGACTAGTTTTAGCCCTCAACAAGTTTTAAAAGTGTATCTTACCTTTTCTCACCTAGTTAACTTTTTATTTTTTATTCCTGCATATTTGACTAATCACTACCCTCTCAAATGGAAATATGTGTTTAAATAAATTGGTGACCAAACCGTTTGAGACCCACTGAGAACTTAGACTACAGTAAGTTAACTTATCTTTACATTTGCATAAAGGAGTATTGAGAGTTACTATATATCTTAGCAATGTATAAGCTAAAACAGAATACAGTTACATTACATTTGATCAGAATACAGGTTATTGCTATGGTAGTTTTGCACAGACAGGAAACACAAATATAGAATAAAATAAATAAAACATTTAATTTTCTTTACAATTTGAATTTAGGAATGGGCAATGATTAGATTGATACCATTTTATATTCTTTATGTCACAATGCAATGCATGAATGGGGACTGCAGATGAAAAACAGATCTGTGGCAAAACTAGTGCCTGCCTGTATGTTTTTGTGTTCATTTGTTGTAACATTGTTCATGCTGCCCTCTTGGCCAGGTCGCTCTTGAAAATTAGATTTTAATCTCAGTGAGACTTTTACCTGGTTAAATAAAGGACATATACAAATATGATATATTAAGCAGAGGGAAATGGTACATTTACTGCATTTCAGACCCCTCAAAGTGCTTTTGGAATCTAACATTCCCACACATTCTTTTTTGACATTTTGCAAAAGGACACATCGACATGATGGCTGAGGTACAGTCGCCCCATCATGTGATAGGCTTATAAAGGCTTTGTGGTTCCAATAAAATTGAGCAGAGTGAGCCCTCTTAGCTCGGGATTTCCTCGGGAGCGCGCACGCAGCCAAGAAACTTCCGCCACGCAGCTCGCAAAAGCCCCAAAGCAAGAGCACGAGTGCAGGCAGGAGGGGGATTTCCAGATCGAGCCCCCACTTCCCGAAGCAGCCGTTGTTTTGCTTTCGGTCTGAATACAGAAACAGAGAAAAACGACGGCCATATTTTCCCTTTTTATACTTTAAACCACCGATAAGTGAAGTTGTATAATTGGAGCTGCGCGTGTTGTTGTGACAGCAGGACTGCGAGGCTGCAGGCCGTCCAGACTGATAAGGTAACATCTTATTTCCGCATGTTAACACTACTGACTTCCCGCAGGACGACATGACGGCTGCCGGCCCGCTGTGTAAGTGAAAGTGGTACTGTAGTTTTTCTCTGCCGTTTGTTGACGAGGTATGGGATTTATTTTCACTTTTGACTCGCATGTTTTGGGGTCAGCACGCTGGCAGATAGCAGACCAACAGAGCACTGTTAACTCTTGACTTAACGCCACTGCTAAATCCAACTTTAATACCTAACAAACCCGCTGCTAACACTTACCTAAAGTCAAATATCATATGGATAGAATATGGCAATTACTAACACTTGCTAACATGTATCAAAAGGACTCTTGGTTGCAAATGTCACATTTTAAAGGCATTTTAGTTTGTATGTAGTTATGCGAGTAAAATGATGTGACCAAATGCATGTTGCATTCAGGACTTTGTGCATGCGTTAGTAAATCAGAGATGTTTAAACTACACTACAGCTAGTCGTGTTAAAGGGGACCTATTGTAGCTCCCTCCAGTAAATGACACGAGGCTGAGATCTTGATTAAATACGGGGTTTATTCTTGTGGGACCTATTCCAACCCGTGAGAGCTGGGTTATAAGACAGACAAATATAAAAGGTAAACAACAAATAAATATGTAATGTATGCATATGTCATCACTGTTAATGCCGCCAATTAAAACAATAAACGGCGCACATATCCCACACAGCAAGTAGCAAAAGCTAACAATAGCATGTAGCACAAGCTAGCGCATAGCATACATACATACACAAACAAACCTGCAGCTCAACCGCACACAATTACACACAACCAGCACGAAACGTACCTCGTAGGCTGCTAGTCACCTAGAGGGGCTGATAACTTTATATGCATTTTCCCCTTGGTTTCCTTCGTTTTCCTTTTAACGTCCTGCGTTTCTCTGCCGTTTCAACTATCCAGTGCGTCGATTAAACAACAGGTGTAACACAAAACACAACAGATTAGTTCCGCCCCTATTAATGTTGCACATAAAAGGTAGAAACCAAAAATACAACGTGGAACAAAATAAACAACAGAGAGTGAAGACAGTTACACTTCCACCAAATCACCTGTGATTTCCATAAACATTTTAGAAAACCGATATACATTAATGTAAAACTAACTATTTTGTTTTATACCTATTAAGTGCAGAGTGTGAGTGAGAGTAACTGTTCAGAGTCTTAGTCTGCTTCCAACAACAACACCGTCTTGTGAATAGGCCTTTCGAGGTAGACAGGTTTATCGAGGCGCTTTCCCTTTCCATCCAGGGTAGAGTCGCTGATAAGCAGCTTGAGCCTTCTCACTCTTCCATCCCCTCCTGGGTACACTTCCACAACCCTGGCCAGCTTCCATTGGCCACGGGGTATAGTGTTGTCTTCCAGAATGACAACGTCATTTACCTTGGCATTTCTGCGGTCCTTGATCCACTTTTGTCTTTGTTGGAGATTAAGGAGGTACTCCTTCTTCCACCGAGCCCAGAAGTTATTAGACAGGAGTTGAACTCTACGCCATCGTTTGCGAAGGTAAAGATCTTCCATTTCAAACCTTCCAGGAGGTGGCAGGATGACTGAGGACTTCATGGTCAAGATGTGGTTTGATGTCAAGGGTTCTGGACTGGATGAATCATTCAGATGATCTGTGGTCAGAGGTATACTGTTCACAACCGCCATGACTTCATACAGAAATGTTCTTAAGGAAGAACAGTCAAGTTGTTTAGCTGAATGCTCTAGAATGGACGTCAAGACACTTCTGATGGTGCGAATTTGTCTCTCCCATACACCACCCATATGACTTGAAGCTGGGGTATTTATGAGGAACTCGCATCCCAGTTCTTTCAGTTCCCTTTGATCCATCTCCTTCAATGCTTCACCAAGCTCCCGTCTAGCACCAACAAAGTTTGTCCCTTGATCACATCTTATCTGGCGCACTGACCCACGAATGGCAATGAATGAACGCAGAGCATTGATGAAAGCATCTGTGGTGAAGTCATCAAGCATTTCGATGTGAATTGCTCTGGAGCACATGCAAGTAAATAAGAGCCCATAGCGTTTAAGCTCTTTTCTTCCTTCCTTGACATAGAATGGTCCGAAACAGTCCATACCGCAGTAAGTGAATGGAGAGGTTGCTTCCGTTCGCTCTTCAGGGAGGTCTGCCATTTTTTGTTGTTCAGTGCCTCTCCTGAACTTCCTGCACTTGGTGCATTTGTAAATATGGGATGAAACTGCCTTACTACATCCTAGAATCCATATGCCATTTGATCGGAGCTCATTCATGGTCATTCCTCTTCCTTGATGGTGCACTCTCTCGTGATAATGCTTAACAAGTAGTGTTGACAAGTGACTGTCCTTTGGGAGAATCGCTGGATGCTTCACATGAGGATGTAGAGCGGCATGAGTTAAGCGACCTCCAACTCGGAGGATACCTTGGTCATCCAGAAATGGACTCAACTTGTTCAACTTGTCTTTGGTTTGTATCTCCTTATGATGCTGAAGGCATTTTATCTCTTGAGAGTGTGTTGCTTCTTGAACCATCCTGATTATGGTCAGCTCTGCTTCTCTCCTTTCCTCTAAGCTTGTGGCTTCACAGGACCTTGGCTTGAGACCTTTAATTTCCTTTGCAACGCGCTTGAGTCTGGCAAAGGCTTTAACCACTCTTGACCAGTCTGAGAATTTGTGAAGGTGATCTAGTAGCGACTTTACTTCGTTTGCCTGGGTATCATGAACCTGGGCCTTCTTAAGCTCTGGGTCACTACTCACGATCTCTCCCACCTTGACTTGGTACCACTACCACTTGGTAGCTCTTTCTGCCAAAGTAGGGATGAGCCTGTGAACCAATTTGAGGCTTGAAGTTGCTGTGCTGTGAGACCTTTGGAGGCCTGATCTGCAGGGTTATCTTCAGAAGCTCTTTTGACAAAGTCAGATTCCAGCACCTCTATGAGATCTTCAGGTGAGACTTCCTTAATCTGTGTTCTACAGACGTAGTGTACTTCCCTTGGGAGGTTTGAAGACTGGAGACTTGGTATAACTTGCTACACAGTTACCTGGTGACTTACTCCAATCATACATGTATCTCCAATGTCGAGACAGGGATTGCCAAAGCCGACAACACTCCAGCCCAAATCTGTTCTCTGTGCAAAGGGCTGGTTTTCTTCACCAGGCATCTCTTGGGACGAGGGCTTGAGGACAGTTGTAGCCGATAAGCAGGCCAATTTCACAGCTTTGCTGAGGAGCGATCTCATCTGTAAGGTGTTCAAGATGAGGCCTTGCCAGTCTCTGGTGTGGGAATATGGTCTCTGCTTGCAGGGATGAATTGTCTTGAGTAGGTTTACTGGCAGAGGTATTATCCTGTCCGAGTAGATTCCTCTCACTTGGAGACCAGTTAGCTTCCTACATGACACGACTGTGCTTCTTGAAGCCATTGTGGAGAGCTTTAGCTGCACTGCTTCGTTCTTTTTGCGAAGAGCCTTTGCCGTTTCTTCAAAGATAAAGCTTGTGTCACTGTGTATCGAGGAGTGCATACACAAGTATTTCCCTATGTGGCTCACTTGTGGCTGACACCCACACTGGAACGATTGTGGCTATATGGGGTCTTTAACATTCTGGAAGACTGTATTGGATATTGCCTCACGTGGTGTGCTTGCCGCTTTACTTTGTGGATGTTCCATTATGCTTTCTCTTGCACCATCATGGTTTGTTGACATTCTTTCTTCTCTGGTGCGATTGTCGTGGGAGACAGGTTGATTCCTGTGTGATGTTGCCACATCTTCTGTTTTACGATTCCTTTGAGCGATGGCCGATTTAAAAGCCCAAAGCACAACTTCTTTCTCTTGAACAACCTCCTCGCCAGGATTGTTCGTTCATGATGTACATTTGGTGCAGATCGTGTTCCTGCCTTCTCACAGAAAGACCAGTTTGTCGGCGTTGGCTTTTCATCTTGTGGCTGCTTCAAGTCAGTACATTTGCAAACAGCCGACGTTCGTTCCTTAAAAATATTTGGCCTTTTTGGTTCGCTTCTCTTGATTTTTAGGAGCATGGAGATGATGCTTATTGGTTGGCCCAATCGTATGTGTTGGTCATTGGGAATCGGATGGGGAACCGTGATTTTGCTTCTCCATTTCTTGACCTTTCTGTTTCCAACTGGGTCAACCAGTCGGAAGTTGTAGCAAGCCATCTTTTGGTTTCTGTTGCAGTCGTTAAGTACCTCAAGGTCCTTGGCGATCTGTTCCCCACCCGACGATGCAGCCCCACAGCCTGCGAAGGAATCAGAGAGCTCTGAAGCTTCGCTACGCTGGTGCTTTGGAGACGTTCATTTGGCCCAACTGCATCAAGCCGTAACTCTGAAAGCCTTAGCAGTGAGGAAAGATTAGCGTACCTCTGCTTCTTAGGATTGGTCCACGCGGCATGATAGGCGCTGACTCATGCCTGTCCTGCGAGAGAATAGCTCTCTATGGCTTCTGGCGGTCGTTCCACCCACATACTTCTCTAGATATATATACTTTTCTTCAGCTGGATGTTTCCTGTCAACGAAGTGTAAGAAAGGAGACCTTCCAGTCACTTGAGACTCAGTGGATCACACCCTAAACGTTGTACGTTCAGGCACAGGTAGAGACTTGCACTGATGGACTCTGGCAAGAGCCTCCTGACAAGAGCCGAAGTACTGGTCTTCTTGTT